ACTTAGACTTAGGCTTAGACTTAGACTTCCTTTATTGTCATTGCACAAAAAACACAAGGTGAATCTTGACAACGAAATGTCGATTACTTGGCTACCAGTGTAACAGAGCTAAGACCTTATTCCTACACAATAAATATGTTTTCTATAACTAAGAGCTAAGAGTTAGCTATATACAGGGTAAAGAAGTATGTATATACATATATATTGCACTGAGTTGCAAAAAGAAACATCAATAAATATTGCACTGAGTTATTGCAAAAAGAAAACATTATGTTGAGGACAAAACTAAACTAAGGTGCGTGTATTGTCCATGTCAATGGCGGACGGTTTTTAGTGTGTGTGTGGGGATGGAGGAGTGTTATGTGGCGTTAAGCAGTCCCAGGGGGAAGAAACTATTTAGTAGTCTGGTCGTTCTGCAGAAGATGCTGCCGGACGCCGGGGGGGGAAACAGTCCATGGTCGGGGCGGGTGGGGAACTGAACGGTTCACACATGCATTTCTAATATCTAACACAGGAAGTTGACTGGAACAGAAATGGAGTCCTGCTCTGATGCTGCAGTTCAGTGAGACATTCAGGTGCCGAGTGTGTGTGTGTGAGTGTGTGAGTGTGTGTGTGTGTGTGTGTGTGTGGGTGTGGGTGTGTGGGTGTGTGGGGGGGGGGGGGCACGGTGGCCCCTGTGCTCAGCAGTATTACGCAGCCATCCAGCCAAGGAGAGCAAAAGCTCTTTCACACAGCACTTGCGTAAGCAGCTTTTCAGGGCCGAGCCAAAGGGGTCAGGCCCACCGCAGATAGGCTGCCGACACTCACCCATATACTCAAACACCAGGTAGATGTCTTTATCGTTCTGTGCCCGGATAACATCCAGGAGCTTGACGATGTTCGGGTGATCTCCAAACTCCTGCACGAAAAGTGAGAGTTTCAAACACAGGAACCACACAAAACGCACACAGCTACCGTGTGACAGGTAATATAACAAGGACGCGCAAATACATAGGTTTTTTAATCTTAAACTGTTTGACCAGAGGTCTGGGTATTTACTTGGAAATGAAAACAGTTGGTGGAACAAATGAGTAACGTGTCGATGTAGGTCAGCAGATAAGGAATAACAGCGATTCAATGAAGGGGGCATAAGCACTTGAACATACAGAGGCCCAGCAGACGGCTCCCAAAGGCAGTAATTTACCAATAAAGGAACACATAGTTCAGTTGGTTAGGCTGAGACAGTGTTGTCAGGGGAGGCTGATCAGTAATAGGTATTGATCAGTTCAAGCCTTTTCAAGAATCTTACCTGAAGGAACATGACCTCTCTGAATGTTCTCTGTAAAAAAAAAAAGAAACAAGTAAACATTATAATCGAGATGTGAGTTTGAAAAGAAACATGCAGCCATGAACTAGAATAGCCTGAAGCCATAGATTCGAATTAATCATTAGCCAGCTTCCTGTTGAAGGTGAAGGAAGAAATCCAGAAAAATGACTGTGAATGAATGTCTGTTGACATGAAAAGCTTATTTTTCTTTCCTCATCTAGATCACTTTCCTTTCTCTGGCAGCACTATGGCACTGGATACACACCTGAGCGTCGGTCCTGTTTCGAAAAGCATCAAAGATCTTTTTCACGGCCACGGTCTCCCCCGTCTGCCGGTCAGTGGCTTTCCACACAATGCCGTAAGCCTGAAGAAGATAGAAGGGAACATTTCATCAGGATTGGATTTTATCACGAAGTTATATGGACAAATAGGACAGCAAGGAAGTGGAACAGGCACAAGAGTAAAGAAAAAAATAATTAAATTAAACATAAAGATTAATCGGGAGTACTGACATTAGTACTAGCTAAATATAGAACCCAAAAAGAATTTTAAAAATCCAACATGATGGTTAACGTGTTGTGCCCTGATACTTTCCTCTGGCAGGAATAAGTTAACTTTATGGACGTTTAGCGGTCCATAAACCTGACACGAAAGCCAAACAATGACAGCCAAAGACAAACAAAGGGACTCTGGATGAGTCACGTGTTTAAAGACACTTCAGTTGCTTTCCAACTCGGTTGCTTTCTGGTTACTGTTTCTTTTTTGTTTGGTTGTTGTGTCTGATGATGACTTCAGCTCCTGCGTCAGGCAGGGAGCTGTCGTAGTTGGGAAATCAGGCGTAACAAAGTCAAGAGTAAGGCAAGGAGTCAGAGGACACGTATTGTGGAGAGGCCAGTGGATCAAGTTCACAATGTGCTGGAGACTCTTTGGGTCAGACAAACCCTCGCTCGAGAAAACAAAAAATGATGTATTGCCACTTTTTGTAACTCTAAAAGAATTTAGTCCCTTTCAAATGACACTTCCCTATGCTTTTTGGTCCCTTTAAGCAAAAAAAACGCAGTGGAACAGGTTGAATAGGTTGAATATGTGTGTAACATGAGTCACAGGCACATGGAGGTAAGTCCAGCCGGAGCCAGATGACGCGTGCAGGCGGCGGTTTCCAGCTGGTGGACTCAAACGGGGCTAAATCTCCGTGGACAGCCTGTGGAAAGGTCCCAGGTGCAGGCCTGTGGCAACGAGCCGTTACCAGCAGGGATAAAAAAAACACACAAGGGTCTGGACCGCAAAGGGCCCTGACACATCAGCTGATCTGTAAGGAAAGAGTTTGTCCTGCCAAAATAAACAAAGCTCTCGCTTACAACACCGGCCTCCACAGAGCACCTTAAGGCCGAAGAATGTGGGGAATTTTCTGAATGCAGAGGCAACTTAACTGGTGAGAGGAATAAAGGTAAACCTCTGAACAGATAGGTTAAAGGCACAAAAAAAACTGTTTTGTTAGAACAAAAGATCATAAAGTGAAATGAAGTGTATCTTCTCTGATTGGTGAAAGTTATATTTAATTTCCAGTGAAAAAATGAAATACACATCATTTCATTAAGACTCGTACTCACCCCTTTGCCAAGTCTCTTCTTGATTTCATATTTGAGAGAAATGTGGTCCTCCACCTCTGAGATGTTTGCTGATTCATATTTTTTGCTCATTTTATAGTTCACTTTGCTCCTCTGCTCATGCACGAAGCATCACAACACTCCTGGTTTTTCCCCAACAAAAAAAAAATCCCCAAATTGCTCCAAAAGAGGCGTTGAAAGACGTCCGGTGAAGCTGCAAGATCCGAATAGTTTCGACACAACAATTACACAACTATTGTGTGTATTATTAACTCAGCAGCTGTCTAGGGGGGTTTACCTGGCGACCCCTCAGGTGAGCTGTGGTCAGTCCGGTCCACCTGCTTCCGGGTCAGCGTTTCTCTTTAGTATTCATGTCTGGTTGGTGGCTGGAAATGACTAAAAAAGTCAACTCTCCATTCTCCGCACTCCGCGTCCTCTGGTGCCTCTGAAGGGCCGTTGAGTTTTGTCGCTGTTGGTCGTCCTGGCAACGCACGCGGGGCTGCCCCCATTCTTAAAGGCGCCGCGGAGGAAAACCCGTCCTTCCGCCTGTTGTCATGGAGACGACGCTGTGGATTACGTATGGGGCTCCGAGCATCTCCCACCCCCAGATTCCGGGAATCACTGGACAGATGCCATATTTTAGGAATATAAACCCGCAATGCTACAGAAAGTCAGAGTAAATATGTCACTAAAGTATAAAGGCAGTTAAAGATGGCCTATTTATGGCCTTCAATAACTGATGACTCATGCTGAGTATTACTTCCCAAAGTCGCCTAAAGACCAGCAAGATGTGTCCAGATTTGAACAGTCTTTGGGTCAAACACATGCCATGACCCCAGGTTAGCTCCGGGCCTGTGGTCCACATCTGGCCTGTGAAGCTCTGTAAGTTAGCTTTAAGGAGCAGGAGTAGCTCATGTTAAGCCCAAATGTGTCCTCTAACTGGGGAAGATTCAGCAATAGCTAAAAGTGACTTATAATACCCAAACAATAATATCCTAATTTATTTATTTATTTAATCAGGACAGTGCTCATTAATGAACAATCTTACACTTCAGTAGAGATTGTAAATGATCCAAATTATAGCGTATTTGCTAATTTACATCTGTCGTCCTGAGGCAGGAAGACACTTTGTGCATATATCAACTAGTGATGCAACCTGGACACATCCTCAGTGATGTTACCTGATCTCATAGAGTGTTTCGGGCTCTATGAGACCAGGTAACATCACTGATGATGTGACAAAACAACACAAAATCACATAATACAATATCAATCAAGACACACGTTCAGACAATGACATTACACCAATAAAATTAGTGAGAGCATGTCTGGGAACTTTTAAGAAACTGTTTAAGGTGCTTTTTAAATGTGCAATAAGTGGGACATTCCCTGATGTCCCTAATTCACTTTTTAATTCCATCCCAGGTTTAAAGGTTGATCTCTGGATAAAACCGATGCATAGAAAAGCTCCATCATTTCAAATGACACAAGTCTATAATAAAACCAAACTCTCCATAAACCTTGAACACCAAATGTCTCCACTGTGAGATCTATAAAGTATTCATTCATTCATTAATTCATTCAGAAGGTCTTATTCACACACACAACACAAAAGATGATTAGTTGTAGATTTGTTTATTCATTTCTACAAAGGTGTTACATGCTTTCATTTAAAAGGCAACACTATTATTTACAATGATACATTTTAATAAATATGTTTTCCCTAAAGGTGTTTGGAGGTTGGATCATGTTCAGCAAGCAGAAAAGAGGCAGTTTGTCCCGCCTGAACTTTGCCCACTCACAATGTGGCCAAACCCTTCCTTCTAAAAGTAATTTGGATTAAACGTGTTAACAAAGTACAGTGAGAGGAAAACAACTGATCAACATAAAGTGTTTCTTCAACCTTATCTTCAAAATTGTTTTTCCAATGGAAGTGGAGTCGAATCAACTTGGAGTCCAAGTACCATTATTTCAGCTGGGATTCGACAGAGAAGATGAACTGTGGCCTGTCATGTTCTTCTCCTCTATTTATTGACAATATCACAGGATAGTACAGTAAAAATCTATGTGAAAGGAAACATGAGAAACAGAATGAAAATGGATGACAAACGTGAATACAGTTGGAATAATACGAAGACTTTGGCTGTGCACCTTCTCCAGATATGCAGACTTTAAAATGCTTCTTTGTGCTCTGCCAAACTTAGTTATAAAATTACATCTTATCTGATGCTACAATACAAAGTTAGGAGTCAACTGCTCTGTCAAGGCCAGAATAGAGAGCCAAAAAGTATTTTTCCCCAGATTTTTGTATAAAAAAAGGCCAGCGGAGCAGCTTAAAGGAGGAGTTCACAGAGCAAGGCTGCAGGCAGCATGATGTACTAGAGAAAGCAGGAGCTGTGTAAAAGGTGTGCAGCTCCAGCTGTACACAACTCCACCGACAAACACAGGAAGTTCACGTACAGTGAAAAACGAAAGAACTGGGGGGGGGGGAATGAGATGAAAAAACAAACCCACACATAAATCTATTCCCTCCCAGAACGATAAAGAAAAAACGAGCCACTTAATTCTAATTTAGCTGGTGTCGGAGTTCCAAACGAAGAGATTGATGACCTCCGGGAGCTCTAAGAGGAATGGAGGAAGCGGTTGAAGGCGTTGTAGGCCGACTCCAGATCAAAAAGCATCTGGCGAACCTGATTGTCGTCCAGTTCATCTGAGGCAGACATGCTGCTGAGGGTGGTTAACCTGGAAACATCCCCACAGAAAACACCTCTTTCCTCATTATTTACTCACTTTAGAGACTAAACATGAAAAGAAACGTGCACCATCTGATTAAAACCCTCGTTATGACTTACCAAAGGCTGACTTTGTCTTTAGCCTCCGAGTCTGGAGGCATGTTGCTCATTCTGTTCATGGTTTCCATCAGTTCTCTCAGGTCTGGCTGGATCTGAGCCCACACAAAATAATCAGTGTGAGAACTAATATGCACGTATTTGGAACAATTTAAGAATAACACTACATTTACCTCATCCATGGCCCTGATCTCCAGTCTCAGCTTGTCCATCACAGTGATGAAGAGCTGAAGATCACAGAAGGTGAGAGAAAATTATTATATTTGTGATAAGTTAAAGTCTTGTTTCCCAACTGTCAGATATTTAAATCGTTTCCTGGAAACTGAATGCCCATTTCGAGCTTCTCAAAGTAAGATAAAAAGTTGTTGTGGAACACAAATGTCAATATCCCCACTGAGTTCCGAATGAGAAAACCTCTGAAAACTGAAAAATGTAGTTAAAGTTGAAACACTTAACCTTTTCCTTACTGGCACATGGCCATAACTCTCCCATTTAAAGCAACTGAATGAATTGTTTGATTAAAAAGGTGCAGAGAAGACATACAGAAACTATATCTGCAATGCAGCGGTTCAGGTTGCCCTTGTCATCCTTGATGGTGATTGGCCGATCCTCTTTAATCCTTTCCATGGCCAGCGGGCAGTCAAGCTAGGAAACAAAATAAAAAAAGCGAGAACATAAAAAAAACTATTAATCAAATTACATCAATTTGGAAGGAAATAAATCAAAGCAAAGGAGCCCCCACCCTGTACTTCCTGCAGAAGTCATCGATGGAGCCCACATCCGAGGCCTGCACCTGCTTGAAAGCAGCCTTATACTGAACCAAGAGCCTGGAACAGGACGCGGTGTACCTGAAAACAATGTTGACTCCAGGTTAGTAAAGATATTCGGTTCAGCTTTTGGGTGTTTTAGCTGACGTGTAACTCACTCATTAGGTGTCACGCAGTCTTTGATGTAAGCCTTCTCCAGGGCCTGCAGAGTCTTGACAACAGCAAACAACTCGGCCATGTTGTCATACCTGATGAAACGGCACAGATGAGACACTCAGGGGTCCATGTTTTTACAGGCACTAACGTTACATTATTGACAGGCAACACATTCACACTTACTTTTCTCTTTCTCTCGCATTTTTGTACAGCTTCACTTCCTGAAATGACACGATTTATTTTTCATGGTATTTGAATTGAAACATTAGATATAATTCATCCTGCTCATAGATTTAGCATAAAATTGCTGAAGCATTCCATTTAACGAGAAAGACATGGGGCATTTTTTAAAGATTAATTGCAGGGACAAATTGGACACCTGAAATAATACAGTTGTTTTGTGTTACTTAATTGTTGAATAATTTCCCGCACCTTGTTTAAGTTGTATTAATTTTAAAAAACTATTACCTCGTACAACTCTGGTTTATTAGCTGGAGCTGTGGGGCAGAAAATAATGTTAATTTAACCAGTGGAAGACAAAAATGATGCATCCTACACCTTCATTCTGCTCATTTGAATAAACTAAATGTCTTACCCCCTCCTACTCCTCCTGTGCCAGCTATCCCATGGAACATAATGTTGATGTCTCAGAACTTGATCTGAAAAAGGTTTGTTACAGTTGGTTTCTAAATCGAATGAATTCAACACATTCAGTGAGCTGTTGTTTAAATTGCATTATACAGTTAACAACAGTACTAAATTAATTACAAGTAATATATAAAATGTTCAAAATATTCTTCTGTGCCTCACAAGTAGTAACAGACTAAGGAATAAATGTGTAGAACACATCCTAGTGAAACAATCATTTCAAACCACGATGCTGGCATCAAAATGACAATAGATCTAAATTAATTTCAGGTGACCATAGATCACATAACCTAAATTCAGTTTTCAGTTTGTCTAGGTGTGACACTAGGTTCTCCATATTTAGGAAACAAACAAACAATGGCTTTCTGCCCGAAAACAGGCCTACTATATAAAAATTTGGCTGTAGTCGAGGTTTACATACATCTTTCAAATCAGCAAGACCAAGTTTAAACTTACTTACTTAATAACCTACTTTTACCAAGAAATATAATATAAAACATTCCCGTAGGAAAGAGTCGGTCATCGATTGTGCTGACGATTTAATTAGCCTAAAGTTAGCTATAGAGGCTAACTTGTAGGCACTTCCTCTAAGGATTTCTTTAACTATTTACGACAAGTATATACATGAGTAATATTAATAATTGGTCTAAAACATTGACTTTGCTTATAGGCTACAAAATCATAAATCTTTCGTAGCAATTCAATAAAACATTAGGATAACCAGTAACAAACACAGCTCACTTACCCTTTCGGCAAACTGCTGTGACGTTGATGTAAACACACCCTATGACTAGGACCAACAGACGTCAACGTTTTAGGTGTCCGTTGCGCCTTAGTAAATGTCATTTAATTTGAAAAGAGTAACCGTATTTATATGAGATAAATTACCGTATATAGCATGTAGCAGTTTAAGCAAATATAAGTGTTAGGTTGTATATAGTACTTAATACTAATGTGCTACTCTCAATTCGTGATAAATTATATTGCATTTCTAAATAGGCAATCGGCACGGACAACCGTTGTCAAGGCGGCAGACTCAAACAAACCGCTCGAGTTGCTCATAGAAAATGTGTAATTACTTTGGCTTAGTAAAGTCAGGTAAATTCAATAAAGATTGAAATAAGAGGACAACTGAAAGACTGCTGTAAATCACATTAAGGTCAGTATCAAAGTATATGAATGCTTCGTTAATTTGAGGCGCGAAATGGGACTTAGCTGCTAGCAAAATGAATACAGACAGAGGAGTGTATTGTTACGAGATCGGCTACAAATAATGCATTTTACCAGTCATTACAGTAGGTCTTTACAGACACTAATATTGATTTTTTTAATATAAAAAATATGCTTTCAATTACAAGCAATTTGTGGTGTATTTGTGCCTACTCATGAAATCGTCCTTTTAATGTGCAGATCTTGAATCATGAAGACCTCAAAGTCAGGGTTTCAGAGTGCTGCCCAAGAGGAATGTGGTGTTTGGCTTGACACTTTGCAATTAAAGGGAAAAGCTAGACAGGTAACAGAAGAAAAAAACAAGCACATGCTAAATTACAACTTGAAGTAAAGGTTTTACAGGAGCCTCGTCTCCATGTGATGAACTGAAGTGACTAACAGACACGTTTGGATAATGTTTTGCCCTGTATGTCTTATCTGTGACAGAAACGATCTGCCCGTCCTATTTCTAAAATGCTGAATCCCTTCGCTGAAGGGGGGGGATACAGTTTGGCTGTGGCCCTGAACTTCACTCAGACCAAAATGGAAATGCCAAAAACCAAACAAAGCTCCATCTCCACTTTCTTCACACCCCAGCGAAGAGGTTAGTGACAACTGCTCTGCTGAAAGGACATTTTCAGTTTTAGTAGTACTACTGTGACCTTAAGGATTAACTTGTTTAACTAACACAATGAAAGTTTGTATTCACGTTTTGTCTTTTTTTTTTATATATTCTTTCCCTGAACAGTCGTCAATAGGATGTCTTTCTCTGAAGTAACAAACCTTGATCCAGCCGCCTCACCTTCACTCACATCTGTGGCGTCTATGCAAAAACGAGGCCATAGGCTAGAAAAATCTGACCTCTGTGGCACAGAGAGGGGTTTGGATTGTGACCGGGACACCCAAAGTGGGCCTGACTCTGAGGGGGATTCATGGCAGAAACAGGAAGAAGACATTTCACCGACAGTAGAAACTCATTTCAAGTTTATAGAAGACAAGTCAGAGGAGTGTGAACCACCTCAAAGAAGAAGGAGGCTTACTGAGGCTGACTCTGAGCCTCCTCCACCAGAATGGAGTCAGGATCCACTGCTGACCTATAGCCAGGACCCAGGAAGTGAATTCTTTCTAACTGATCATAAACCCACCAATGCAATGAGCTTTAACAGCTCTGGGTCAAGTTTTCTTGTCAGTTCACAATGTGAGGGCGGCTTTGGAAATTGGAATGATTCATATAGAAGAACTTCAACTCAAAAACCCGTGGAAACTCCTCCATCTCCTATAACCAAGAACAATAAAGAAAACACCAGGCCACTGTCTCTTAATTCCCCCAATAAGCACTCGGCTTTCTCTCATCTTGGATATCTTTCCGAGAGTAAATGGACTTTTTCAAAACCTCCATCACCACTAAAACACACAGACCAGCTGCGGAGCAAAGCTGGGAGAGATGGAGACTCAAAGGGGACCAAACTGAGCAGCTCTCCTCTTAAAAAGCTAAAACAGCAAAGCCGGCAGGTGGAGGAGGACAGTTTGGCCATGTTGTTCACTCAGGACTCGGAGGGCTTCAGGGTGATAGCACATCGAGGTCTGCTTCCCAGGAGCCCACTTAAAGACCAGAGTAATCAAAGCGTTGGGATAATGAGAGCCTGTGCTCACAAATCTGTGTCTGACGAGGAGGACGATGAGGTTCTGTTTACTCAAGACTCGCAGGGAAACACGGTGATCAAACACTGAAACACGTTCCCGACGTCTCCACAAATGGCTCCAACAATTAGGGCCACAAGTTGAGGTACAAGTTGCTTTCTGGTCTCTGTTTTTCCTCAAACTCCTCTTGGATTTTCCTCTCTGCGGTCACTCATGTTGTCCTTTATTTTCTTATGCTTTCCTTGTTTTAATCTCTCACGCCAGACAAAAGTAACAAGCCAGAAGTGAGACGTTTTTACTTTATTTGAAAAAAGATCCAGCGTTACATACACGTTTTGGTGAGAGTTAAACAGATTTGTGGATTTAGCTGTTGGTGCCAGATGCTACATTTTAATACAAAATAAAGTGGTATACAAAAAGTGTGAATGTTGTCGAGGATGATCATTTCTTCACGAGGAATTCTTCTTCTTAAATGGTGGTTTCAAGCCTCCTCCTGAACATGGTCTATTCATCATTACACTAAACATAGTTTACATGGATTCTGTGGCTATTTATGAGAAATGTTTTAACAATGTGGCCCAAACTGGAGCTCACTTAGAGAAACGCCATATGACACACATTGAAAGAAGTGACTAACACAGTTCTTAAGATCTTAAAGTAGTCTATAGGTTTAGCTGCAGAATATAGTGAATGTGTGCTTTGTAATGTATAATTCCCAATTTGGGGATTGGTGAGAAAGGTGTTATTACTTATTCTATGTGTGTTACAAACTAATTCAAATGCCTGAGTTGCTATGGCACTAAAGGGTCCGTGTTTTCATGTTGGAGTGCTGAAACCTAAGGGATTCCAGTTTGGGTTTGTGTTACAGTCAAAGGTTAAGTCTGAAAAATACATTATGAGAGTTTTATAATCCCTTTTGTATGCGTGGATGAGGACATCATCTGGACGGAGGTGTGAGTTGGTGTTTTTCAGCCTGCGATCTCTGTGGGTTCGGTCACCAGTCTGGAGCCGTCCCAAACCGTCTTGAACTGCTCCGGGACGGGAAACTCCCTCTGTAAGACAAATATAACATAGTGAAATTCAGCTTCTGTCTAAACTGTAGCTGTTGCCTTCCTTCTCCTTAGCCCTATAATGCCAAATGTATCATATTTGATAGATACGGTTTCTGAAGTCTTCTGGATCTGAGACTTTTTGCATCATTTAAAGGTAAAAGCTTTGCTCAAACCCCTGTTGTACACATTCAGATACACCTGATAACAGCCAGTAGAAGACTACACCAAAATATATTTTTTACTTATTGCGTGCCAATTTGATCCAAATAAATTTTTTTTTCTTCATATGTTGTTGAGGGGCCAAAGAAAGACTTCAGACTCCAAAAAATCCAATATTCTTCCTATTTTTCTCAGATCGGGCTTTAAAGGGTTAGACTTAGACGCAACTTTATTTATCCCTTGGGATTACTCCTTCAGGGAAATTATGGTTCCAGTTTATGAAGAGTACAAAAGACAATATAGAGACAATATAAAAAAGTGTGTATATGGTACAGATGTATATGTTTCCTTTAGATATAAAGTATCTACACAGTCGATTTCAAACTGGATTGAAATCATGACTGAAATAAGAAACGTGGAACAAATTGCTTTTAAAATTCATTTGAAACTTGACATTTTTCACAAACTTTGGTCAAAATGGCACTCCTACAGGGTAAAGTGTGCTGTGCTTCAAAATGGTTCATGATTCATCGCTACTTTCAACAAGCTGCATTTTTGCCAACTGCTCTCTATGTCGAACCGTTCTGTGTTATTAATGTTGTACTGAAAACTTTGAAAAAATAAAATATAACATTTAAAAAAAAGTATCTACACAGTAAAGACTACAAAGTAGTTGACTTGGATTATTGCACATTCATTGCAGAGTAGTGCTGACCATATCCTCCGGAGACCCGGCCCATTCATTTATGTCCATTATAGTGGACATTTTGTCCACCTGTACCCCCCCCTAAGTATCTGGAGTTACCCTATCAAGCCCTATAGTGTTCTGTAGAGGACATCCTGGGCTTTCCAGTGATGTGCCATGTGATAGGTTTGCATGCTGGGAACTTTACTTTTTTCCTAAGAGTTCTTAGGTAAATATCCCTTTCAAGACATCTTCTTTTTTATTATTTAATTATCTAAAGCCTGTTCTATTTTCCCATGCAAATCGTCCTGTTGTCCTCCACAGTGGACATGCTATGAAATTAAAATTAAAAATATTTTTAAAAAAAATTAAATTGTAATGTTCTTTTTTAGGTCCAAATACATGGAAAATCACAACAAAAAAGACATTTGAAGACACTTTTTTTCTTTGGGTCTCAGGAGGATATAGATAAGTAAAAAATGTCCCTAATTTCCTCATTTCCCCCCACTCACATAGTCCTCCTCTCCTGGGATCAGGATGTTCATCTCGGAGCTCTTGGCACTGACGATGTCACAGCTCAGGGCGTCCTTACTCAGGTACACCTGGCAGCCCTCCGTCTTGTTGATGGAGATGGTGGGAACTGATCCCAAAACCTGCCCGGAGACACAGAGAGTGACCCAAACTTCTGCCTCTCTCAGAATCAGAATCAGAATCAGAATCAGGTTTATTGCCAAGTAGGTTTTCCGACTTACAAGGAATTTGCCTTGGTGTTTAGTGCACAACACAACACTTCTATGAGAAGCAAGAAATAAAATGTAGAAATAAAAATATAGGACAGAATGATAAAACTGAAAAATACAATCTTTAAAAATGTACAAATGAACTATCTTTAAAAAATATAGATTCGAATGTGCGAATTAACAATTGAAATGTGCAATGTTGATCTGCAACGACAGACCAGAAAATGCTGAAAGCATTGGGTAAATTAGTGAGGTAGAGGGGGGGGG